GCTCAAATGAAGACTCAGCTGGCTGTGCACTCTTACTCACATCTGAACTTCCAGATCTTCACAGAGTGTCTAGGACTCAAGACGATGCTCAGTGACGTTTGTTACATGAGCAAAATAAGATCAACCCGTTCTGCCTCCTATTTCCCCTAGACTGGTACCAGCACAACTCAGAAACCTTGGAACCTCAGTTTCTCCCTCTTCTTCATTGCCACATCTAATCATATCTGGTCAGTTCCATTTTCAAATCTTTCTTGATTCTCTCTTCTGTTCTATTGTCTCTGCTTGCCTCAGTTGGCATCCTCAACATTTCTCCCATCTGTTGCATCATAGTCTTAGTTTAACCAGACAGGCCAGATGGGAACATTGCCTGAGGAGGGTGGGTGACCAGAGGGTCTCGGTGGCCAGGTCAATCCTGGAGGAGTGTTACTTAAGGTAGTTTGGTTGTTGAGAAGCATTAAAGTCATATTTGAGAAGTCAAGATCATGCATCAGTTCTGAGAAGCAAGGTAAAGATTAGCTGCTGAATAACTTAAAGTCCAAATTGAGAAAGATGTGAGGGATATATTGAGATAAACAGTTCAGTACAGCAGCAGTGATCACAGTCATAACAGAATGCAAAAATGGCTTTTAACTGGCCTTGGCATGTGCTGCAGGAGTAGTGGCCTATTAAAACTGCTTCTCTCTGGGAAACACAAGTCTTCTAGGTGCTTTTCCCCCTCCACTGTGGTGCCCTTCCTACCTACCCTCTTACTGTTGAAAACATCATCTTAATGAAACGAATCTTGAGTTTTTCACATCTCTGCTTGATGCCTTTTGATCACCACCACGTCCACAAAGTCACCTCTGAACCTGTCACTTGTCAAGGTCCCAGCTGCCTCCTCAGACTCACTTCCTAGCATTCTTCCGGTGCCACCTTACCGAACCGCATCTGTTCTCCAAAATGCGCTCTCTTCTCTCACACCTCTTGCCATCACACATGTTGGTACCTGTGCTGCTAATGTCCTTACCCATTTCAGGCAGCTGCGACTATCTTATTTGTGCTTCTAGACTCAGCTTCACAATCACTTCCTCGGGGACTCCTTCTCATACGTTTACACTTTAACACTGCTGACCCCTTGCTACACTTCAACAGTGATTTGAAAATGTTTTCATTAGAACACTTACTACATTCCACTGCTTTTTAATTTAAAAAATTGTGATATATAAAATACAAACAAAAAGGTGCATGTCAGAACCATAAAGTTCAATGAATGATCACAAAGCACTCACGTAACCATCACCCAGAGCAAAAGTTGGCAAACTTTTTCTGTAAAGGGCCAGATGTAAATGTTTTAGGCTTTGCAGACATATGAACTCTGTCACTACTGCTTAATTCTGTTGTAGCAAAAGCAGTGATAGACAATAGTAAACAAAAGGATATGGATGTGTTCCAATGAGACTTGATTGACAAAAACTGAAGGCAAGGCCAGATTTGGCCTGACCAAGGTCAATTCCCATATAACTGTTAATTAATGACTATTGCCTGGCCAGGCACAGCTCAGAGGTTAAGCATCGGCCTAGGGTCCAGGAGATCGGGGTTCGATTTCCGGTCAGGGCACCTGCCTGGGTTTCGGGCTCCATCCCCAGTTAGGGGTGTGCAGGAGGCAGCTGATCTATGACTCTCTCATCACTGATGCTTCTATCTCTTTCTCCCTCTGCCTTCCTCTCTCTGAAATCAATAAAGATATACTAAAAAACAAAATTAAGGACTATCTCCTACCTCTCCCAAAAGATAAACACTATTGTGTCCTATGTAGTAATTGCTATTTTTCTTCATAAGTTTACCATTGAAACATGAATCTCTAAACAGTTTATTTTGAATATTTATATAAATGGAACTGTATATCACATATTCTTTCATATTTGACTTTTTTCACTCCATATTGCAAAATTCATCCATGTTATTGCATATAGCTATAATTCTTTGATTTTCATTATTGTAGAGTATTCCACTATATAAATTTACTTTTTTTCATTCTGCTGATAATGGACACTTGGTTGATTTTATTTTTTTATTGTTATGAATTGAATTATGTAGCTATGAACAATCTTATATATGTATCTTGATGCATAGGCACATATTTCCATTTCCACATTAATGCAACCAATTTATATTCCACCAGCAGTGTGTGAAATTTCTAGTTGTTCCACGTCCTTGCCAATTCCTGCTCTTCTTCTTTTTTAAATTTTAGCCATTCTGTCAAATGTGTTGTGGTACCTCATTGTGGTTTTCATTTGCATTTCATTCTCTGATTCATGAGGCTGAGCCCTTTTCACATTTGTATTGGTCATCTGGATATCCTCTTTTGTGAAGACTTTGTCCTTTTACTTATTGATTATAAAAAGTTCATTTTATTTTCTGGACACAAAGCCTTTATTGATTGTATGTGTGGCAAATACCTTCTCCCAGGTAAAATGTGTCTTTTTCTTTATGTTATCTTTTTGATGAACATCAGTTCTTAACTTTAATAGAGTACAACTTATCCATATTTTCCTTTATAGTGATTTTTATGTCCCATCTAAGAATGATTTTCCCGCTTTGAATAGATTACCTACTATTATCTAAAAATTTTTAATCTTTTACATGTGCTATATAGCTAATGGAATATTGATTTTATGTGGTATGGGATAGAAGTCAAGATTCTATTTTTTTGCCACGTGAATATTTTTTTGTCCCAACACTATATATTTAAAAGATCTTCCTTTCCCTAGCCAGTTTGGCTCAGTGGTTAGAGCGTCAACCTGCAGGCTGAAGGGTCCTGGGTTCAATTCCAGCCAAGGGCATATACCTCAGTTGCAGGCTCGAACCCTGGCCCCAGTCAGGTTGGGGCTCATGCAGGAGGCAACCAATCAATGTGTCTCTCACACTGATGTTTCTTGCTCTGTCTCTCTTCCTTCCACTCTCTCCATAAAGCAATGAAAAAAATATCCTCAAGTGGGGATTAAATAATTATTTGGTTAAATAAATAAAAAATCTTCCTTTACACAGTACTTTATAACGTCTTTTTTTTATCAATCAAGTACTGACATACATGGGTCTTTTTTCCTGGAATCTCTACTATTTTTAACCATGTCGATTTGTCTATTCTTGCTCATATACCTTAATTACTGTCTTGGGCAAATCTCGGTCCTTTGACTTTCCAACTAAAAGATACAGATTAATGAACAGACCAAAGAAAACCATGATGGAAAATGAGAAAGAGCTGCAAGCTAGCAAAAAAATGGAAACACAGCGGTTTTGTATAAGACAACAAGGTTTTTAAAAAGCAGGAAGTCGGCATTGGTAACATATGCAACAGAACAGTCAGAGCGGATAAAGATGAGAAAGTACTGGATTTAGAAAGTGGTGGGTCATTGATGATATCAGGGAACTTTAGGAAATGGGTAAGGAAGAAGCTCAAGCAGCAAATTCATTG